AACCCTAGTCTCTACACTTACCCTAACCCTAACCCTAACCATCGCCTATGCTTGAAACCTAACCATAACCCTAACCCTAACCCAACCCTAGCATCTGCCCTAACCCAAAACTGAAACCTAGCCTCTGCCCTAACCCTAAAGCTAACCCGAACGCTAACCCAAACTTTAGCCTCTGGCCTAATCCTAACCCAAACACTAACCCGAGCCTCTGCCCTAACCCTAACCCTAACTCTAACCCTAACCCGAGCCCTAATCCTAACCCTAACCTTAAACCTAACCCTAACCCTAGCCCTAACCCTAACCCTAACCCTAACCCTAACCCTAACCCTAACCCTAAACATAGCCTCTGCCCCAAACTTAACACAAATTCTAATCCTAGCCTCTGCCCTTACCCTAACCCGAGCCTCTTCCCCAAGCCTAAACATAACCCTAACCCTAGCCTCTGCCCGAACCATAATCCAAACCCTAACCCTAAACCTCACCTCTGCCCTAAATCTAACCCTTTCCACTGTCATAACCCTAACCCTAACCCTAGCCTCTTCCCTAACCCTATCCCTAACCCTAACCCAAGCCTCTGCCCTAAACATAACCCTAACTCTAGCCCTATCCTCTGCCCTAACCCTAATCCTAACCCTAACCTAACCCGAGCCAGTGCCCTAACCCTAGCCCTAACCCTAACCATAACCCTAGTGTCCGACCTAAACCTAACACTAACCCTAACCCTAGCCTCTGCCCTAAACCTGACCCTATCTTCTGCCCTAAACCTAACCCTAACCCTAACCATAACCCTAGCCTCTTCCCTAACCCTAACCCTAAGCCTAACCCGAACCCGAACCCTAACCCTAACCATAACCTAACCCTAACCCTAACCCTAATCCTAACCCTAATCCTAACCCTAACCTTACCCTAGCCAGTGCCCTAACCCTAACCCTAAGCCTAACCATAACACTAGTGTCCGGCTAAAACCTAACACTAACCCTAACCCTAGCCTCTGCCCTAAACCTGACCCTATCTTCTGCCTGAATCCCAACCCTAACCCTAACCCTAACTCTAACTCTCGCCTCTTCCTATACCCTAACCCTAATCCTAAACCTAGCCTCTGCCCTAAACCTAACCCTAACCCTAACCCTAGCCTCTGCCCCATGCCTAAACCTAAACCTACCCCGAGCCTCTGCCCTAACCATAACCCTAACCCTAGACCTAGCCTATGCCTTAACCCTAACCCTAGCCTCAGCCCTAATCCTAACTCTAGTCTCTGCCCTTACCCTAACCCTAACCCTAACCCTAACCCTACCCTAACCCTAACCTAACCCTAACACTAGCCTCTGCTCCAACCCTAAACCTAATCCTAACCATAGCCTCTGACCAAATCCAAACCCCAGCCTGTGCCCTAATCACAAACCTAACCCGAGTCTCTAAACTCACCTAACCCTAACCTTAATTATTACCCTAGCCTCTGCTCTAACCCTAAAAGTAACCCTAGCCCTAGCCTCGACCCTAACCCTAACTATAAACCTAACGCTAGCGTCTGCCCTAACCCTAAACCTAACCATAGCCTCTTCTCTACCCCAAACCCTAACCCTAACCCTAACCCTCTACCCTAACCCTAACCCTAACCTTAACCCTAACCTAACCCTAGCATCTGCCCTAACCCAAACCCAAACCTTAGCCTCTGCCCTAACCCTAAAGCTAACCCTAACCCTAACCCTAACTTTAGCCTCTGGCCTCATCCTAAACCAAACACTAACCCTAGCCACTGCCCTAACCCTAAGCCTAACCCTAACCGTAGCCTCTGCCCTAACCGGAACCCGAGCCTCTGCCCTCATTCTAACCTTAAACATAGCCTCTGCCCCAAACCTAACCTGAACGCTAATCCTAGCCTCTGACCTATCCCTAACCCTAGCCTCTGCCCTTACCCTAACACTAACCCTAACCCGAGACTCTGCCCCATGCCTAAACCGAAACCTACACCTAGCCTCTGCCCGAACCCTAACCCTAACCCTAGCTTCTGCCCTAACACTAACCCTAAACATAGCCTCTGCCCCAAACTTAACACAAATCCTAATCCGAGCCTCTGCCCTTACCCTAACCCTAGCCTCTGCCCTAATCATAACCCTAACCCTAACCCTAAACCTCACCTCTGCACTAAATCTAACCCTTTCCACTGCCATAACCCTAACCTTAACCCTCGCCTCCGCCCCAACCCTTATACGAGCACTAACCCGAGTCTTTTCCGTAACCCTATTCCTAACCCTAACCCTAGCCTCTTTCCCAATGATAACCCTAACGTTAACCCAAGCCTCTGCCCTAAACATAACCCTAACTCTAGCCCTATCCTCTGCCCTAACCCTAATCCTAACCCGAACCTAACCCTACCCAGTGCCCTAAACCTGACCCTATCTTCTGCCCGAAACCTAACCCGAACCCTAACCCTAGCCTCTTCCCTAACCGTAACCATAAACCTAACCATAGCCTCTGCACTACCCCCAACCCTAACCCTAACCCTATTCTCCGCCCTTACCCTAACCCTAACCCTAACCCTAGCCTCTACACTAACCCTAACCATAAACCTAACCCTAACCTCTGCCCTAATCCTAACCCTAGTCTCGACACTTACCCTAACCCTAACCCGAATCATCGCCTCTGCTTGAAACCTAACACTAACCCTAACCCTAACCCTAAGCTAACCCTAGCATCTGCCCTAACCCAAACCCGAACCCTAACCTCTGCCCTAACCCTAAGCCTAACCCTAACCCTAGCATCTGCCCTAACCGGAACCCGAGCCTCTGCCCTCATTCTAACCTTAAACATAGCCTCTGCCCCAAACCTAACCTGAACGCTAATCCTAGCCTCTGACCGAGCCCTAACCCTAGCCTCTGCCCTTACCCTAACACTAACCCTAACCCTGGACTCTGCCCCATGCCTAAACCTAAACCTCCCCCTAGCCTCTGCCCTAACCATAACCCTAACCCTAGACCTAGCCTATGCCCTAAACCTAACCCTAACCCTAGCCTCTGCCCTAATCCTAACCCTAGTCTCTGCCCTTACCCTAACCCTAACCCTAACCATAGACTCTGCACTAATCCTAACCATAAACCAAACCCTAGCCTCTGCCCTAATCCTAACCCTAGTCTCTACACTTACCCTAACCCTAACCCTAACCATCGCCTCTGCTTGAAACCTAACACTAACCCTAACCCTAACCCTAACCTAACCCTAGCATCTGCCCTAACCCAAACCCGAACCCTAGCCTCTGCCCTAACCCTAAAGCTAACCCTAACCCTAACCCTAACTTTAGCCTCTGGCCTAATCCTAACCCAAACACTAACCCTAGCTTCTGCCCTAAACCTAAGCCTAACCCTAACCCTAGCCTCTGCCCTAACCGGAACCCGAGCCTCTGCCCTAATTCTAACCTTAAACATAGCCTCTGCCACAAACCTAACCTGAACGCTAATCCTAGCCTCTGACCCACCCCTAACCCTAGCCTCTGCCCTTACCCTAACA